AAAGGCGAATAAAGGGCTTTAAACTGGTGGGCTAGGAAAAGCTGCCCTGAAACCAACTTCTTCAACGAAAAGATGCCAGAGAAAAAAAGGAAACCCAGAAGATGCCATCATCGAAGCTGAACCCAAAGCTAGAGAAACCAAAGCCAAGTCCCAAACAAAAAAACTCCCAAGCTTTCAATTAAAATTCTAATTTAAAATTTACTGTTTAGTTTGTAAATCTTGTTCCATTCAAATCACGAAAATGGAAAAGATAACTTAGTTATATATAAAACAATATCACAAACCAAACAAAAAAAAGCCCAGAACTTAGAAAGCAAGATCCACAAAAGTATTACCACATAAAAATGACAAAACTATAGGTGTCAACTATAGCTAGACAATGCAAATACAAAAAAATAAGGTTTTGAATAAAGATTCAGTTAACCGAAAGACAGGTATAACTCCAAACGATCTAGGGTTTTTCACCAAATATTCGATTTAGATAAATCTCTGACAATTGGCAGTATTAATAAATTAATTTAATATACTAAATTAATTTTTTGAGGAAATGCTCTAAAATAATCAAGAATGAGAAACTGATGTGAAGCGATACTGCATTAAAGGAAAATTATAAAAATGACCTCTATTTTATGGTTTTTCTAAATACCAGCGCTACCCTTCTAACTAATTTTATTTGTAGCCTAATGGTAAACTAATGACAGAATGAATGCAGACTACTGACAGGCTGATTGGTCTTGCAATTAAATGTAGAATATTGACAGACTAATAGCAGAGTAAATATAAATTACTAACAGACTAACTACAGATTAAAAACACATTAGTGGACCCTTCTTATAGGTCATTTTATGAAGAATCATGTTTTGTAATAAAATTGCTAAGTGTGTCTTTTCAAAAATTATCCTTGATTTTTATAACTAGTACTAATCATTAAGGATAGAAAGATAATAAAAATCACTGAGAATGGACATGGGAAGACACATAGGATTTCTATTTCGCAAATAATAGTATATATATACTAGGAGAAGGTCTGCGCTTTGCGCTGATTTGTGATAAGTTGACTATTTTAATTTTACAATCTATTTATTATATTTGTTAGTAAAATTTTGTTGGTAAATATTAGTTTATAAGTTATGAATACCATTTAAATTTTGTATTAAAGGGATGAAATAATAATGTGAGGTTTGACCCTGTTAGAGAAGTGAAGCTGCCATCAATAATGACTGAAAAGAAGGTTCTCGAGAGTAGAATCCATATTGTGATAATGGTGGCGGATTGAGGTTCAATGCAGTAGGAGAGGAAGTAGTAATCTATTAATGTAAAAAAAATTATGAAAGCAAATAGTGCATGATTTTTTGTTAGATTAACCACAAAGAAAACATGAAGAAATGAGTCTATTTCGGACATAAAGGATAACAAAGTCATCTCTTAAAAGTTTTTTTTTAAAAAAAAATACTAAAATAATGTGATATATGAGACATTATGAAAGAGATTCTAGTGGAGAAGAAAAAAAAATAAAACTGAAACCTTGTTTTTGTATCTGCTCGATAAAAGCGAATACAAAAGAGATAGGAAAAGGAAAATAAAAAAGTGACAACTGACATTACTATATTATATAAGATTTGTACTTTGTTGGATAGTTTGATTTTTTTATATTTTTGTTTAATAAAAGAGAGTTATTGGAGAAGAAAAAAAACCGAAGCTTTTGTTTTTGTATTAGTTCAATAAAAGAAAATCTAGTAGAAATAGAAAAAAAGAAAAAAGAAAGAATGTCGCATTTTAAATTCTAAGATAACATGTGACAGTCTATCAGAGTTGTTTATGCAAAAAGCCTTACTATATTTTTGATAGTTAAAAACCAAAATGACATATGTCATTTTCTTAGATGCCACATAATAGTATATCAAAGCTGCTTCTAGAAACAAAAAAAAAACTTACTTTATTCTGAGAAGAAAAAAAACCTTAAGCGTTGTTTTTGTGTTGTTCGATAAAAGAGTATATAGTAAAGAAAATAACATATATTAATTTCTTAGATGCCACGTTTCAGTATATCAGAACTGTTTCTGAAAAATAATCTTATATTATTAGAATAGGTATATTTAAATTTATACACATAAAATTATTGTAATGTTTTAATTGAATATTTTAATTAAACATTAAAAATTTATTTCTCGTAATTTATTTCTTAATATGTACAAAATCATCCGTAAATAACCATCTGAAAGATCATTTGAAAGTTTGATTCTCTTGCAAAGTCCCATTTGTTCTGAGTGCTCCTTGAAAGAACATATTATGCTAAGTTGAGACGTTTGAAATCATTTATAGTTGATTCTTGTTTGTCGTTTGCTTTCTGAGATCTTATGGATGATTAGAAGAATGAACTTGTTTCCTTTTTATTACTTGAAGCGAAAAATGAGAAAGAACAAATAAGCAGAATCTGTGATTATGTTCACGAGATCAAAGTTTCAAAACTCTGCTCATGAGTTACTGTTTTGACTTATCTTCAAGACCTTTTGGATTCTTACAATGTTATTTTTCTAATAATTTTGGAACGAATCCTAAACTCGTTGAAGAATCACACATTCCTAAGTTACTTTACTTGCAAGCTATTATGAAAGAGACTCTTAGGCTTCATCCTTCACTTCCTCTACTTGTGCCTCACCGGAAGAGCGAAGCCTTGGTGGTTTCAGATTACACGGTTCTGAAATATTTGAGATTTTCATCAATGTTTGGGCGATTTATAGAGATCCTAAGAATTGGGAGGATTCAAATGAATTTAAGCCTGAGAGGTTTCTTGATAGCTCGTTTGATTTCAATGGGATGATTTTAAGTATTTACCGTTTGGGTCTGGTCGTAGGAATTTTTGCGGTGATTAACATGGCCGAGAGGATAGTTCTATACAATTAGGCTTCACTTCTGCATTCTTTTAAATTGGGAAGCTCCTAGAGGAGAGAGATTTGAAGTTGAGGAAAAGTTTGGTCTTGTTGTCAAGTTGAACAAACCACTTAGGCCTGAGAAAAATAAACATGGACCGAAAACCCAAACCAGAACAGATCTGAAATAACCAGTTCGGATCGGGTTTGGTTATTAGATATTTATCCAACATATCAAAATTGTCGGTATCGGTTTAGATTCGGTTCCTACCCAACAATGTCAAAATGACCATATGAGCTGGGAAAAGGCACCACGGCTAGTAGTAGTCAAAAAAGAAAAAAAAAGCACCACGGCTAGTTTACCTTTGAATTTAATCAGTTCGAATCAGGGAAAAGACCACACGCCTATCTGTTCTAAAGCTTCCTTGGGTAAAGGAACGACGCTAAACTTCTCAGATTGCATATCAATTATCAAATGCCATGAGTACATCTTCGTGGTTGCTCTTAAGGGTGGCTATATCAGCTTATGTTTTTTAACCATAACTTTTTCACTTATATTTGAAGTTTTTGTGAATCTATTGGAGTTTTTCAATCATAGAAATGAAATTCCTATAATTGAAAATCCTCCGCAGAGCTGTGCATGAGCTGTGCAAAAGGCTTTTATAAATAAATTCCGGGAAATATGTGAATAATAACACTTTCAATTTCATATCTATTTTTCTCTCTCAAGACCTCTCCACTAGTAAAAAAAAAAAAAAAAAGACCTCTCCACCTTTCAATTCCTATAGCCATTTCGATTTTCCTATATCTTGTTCTTTTGTAGATTTGCAGAACTGTATACTAGAACTTAAAATTGTTAATTATAGATAAAGTCAATTCCCTATATTTTATAATTTCTAGACTTCTCGTCAAATTCACTTGAGCCGACTGCTTATGTTGTAATTCTAACACTAGGTAAAATAAATGGCAACACCAATTTCTATTTTTATATACAATTATGCTAAACCATATTTGGTGTTTTGTCTATGTATAGATTGTGAAACAAACCAACATATATTTTTGGACAGAACAACCTTAATCACGAATAAATACTTACTATGCAATTTTCGCAGACTAAAAATCTTGAACAACATTAGAAAGAAAAAGCAAAATGAGTCATCATATACCAGTATTTGGTTATCTTTCATTCTTTTTACAAGACACTAGACGAATCCAGAAGAATAAGCGTACGTGTGGAACCAAATTTTTTGTGTATCGTCTGTTATATCTTGAAATCTGTGGAGCTACAAAATGATCGATTATCTGAAAAATGTAGGTACACTTAGGTCCTCACAAATTATCTGTCCATGATATTATCTTATTCAATAGCTGCCAATTCTCTCGCTCAAGGAGCACTACCATGTCAAGACGTAGAATATGCAAGCCAAAGATTTGATGAAGGATATATTTTTATGGGTTATACCCACAGTAGCGACTTGAACATCTCCTTAAACACATACTAAGGAGATATTGACATCTTTAACAAATAAACATATTAAATTGCTGAACGTTTAGAAACTGATAGTAGTAACTAATAATACATGTCTGACGCTATTGAACCAAACGAACTAAGATCACCAGGAAACATGTTTTCTTCCTCTCACAAACTTGACAAAGCAAGACCTTAAGTTCTACTAAAGATATGCAAACAACAAATTGGTGCTATTCCAAATAGATAAAGTGATGAATAAATGAAGCAAGAGCAGAAAGAAACCTTACCAAACCGTGGAGAGAATTGTTGAGGTTCTCAAATTCAACAATTCGTTCTTAGTCCAATGCGATCATCATTCGACCATTTGAGAGACTCATTAAAGCTTTGTGAGACTCGTGACCAAAAAAATTAATAACAGAACGACATTTCATATGGATGACTAGCATTTTGAGAAATTTTATGTGTGTGTGATTTTATTTTCCACCATTACAATCGATCGGTTTTCTTATAATTAAAACAAAAAGAGGAGCAAGTCGTAAAAAAAAATATTAAAACAACAAGAGGAGCTAAGTCGTAAAAGTAATCTCTTCCACCATTACAATCGATCGGTTTTCTTATGATCTTCAATATTAAAGGCCCTTCGCCATATTGCTTTAGCTTCACATGTAGCCTAAAGCATTCTTCGGTGGTCTAATCCAAAGATTCTCAAGAGGACACAAATCCTCCTGTTCTTGCCACTGCTTACGCGGATAGTACCTCTCTTCATCAAACGAATACGATACACAGCGCTTGCAATTGAAACGAAGCCTTGGGAAGTAAACACTATTCCTCATCCATGGGAGGTTAACTCTCACCTCGGAAGAATAAAGACTCGTGAAGATTGTTAAGCCATCAAGCGTAGCGCTATTGATCTGTTTCCATTTGTAAGACTCTAGTGGAAGCTTATAAACAACTGGTTTCTCACCTCCGCATGTAAACATTTTAAACAACACTCCCTTACGCGCCGCCAAGAAAAATCTTTTCTTCTTCCGCTCATACCGATAGCTAAATCTACCTGACATGTAAGGACACGGAGGTGAAGTAGTATAACTAAAAATCCATTCTCGAGAAGACGGTTCAAAGAAATATAATCCCTTCCTTTATCGTCAAGGCAATAAAAGCGACGGTTTGCATAGACAACATGGTTGTGCTTAAGTGAAACACCATACTGAAGATTGGACTGTAAATCCTCAGTAATCCACTCGGTTGCTCCGGGATGGCAAGTGCTCGTAGTAAACGTACCATGCCGAACATACTTATACGCTAGCAGAACACAAGTACCTGATGTGGGTGCACAGGAGAAAGCGATTGCATCATATGATAACTCAAGCTTTGGTAAGTTTATGAGTTTACGAGTAAACGGATTGAAGAAGAAAAGTTGGTGTGAAACGGTTTTGCGCATAAGTAACCATCCGTCTCTTGAGTAACACACCGTGGATTTGGCTAGCTCCGGTAGATTCAGTGTGTACATCTTCTGTTGCAAAGGATCATAGAGTTCGAACAAGTTGCCACGTTTAGGTAAGTACATAAGCCAAGGAGGCTTATCCACCAACCGAACATAAAGACCGGCTTCACGCCATGTTTTGCAGACAGCGGAGGCGCGAATATTATCTTTTAAGACAAGTTGAGATATTATTACTTCCAAGAGGCATAATGGAAGGTCAACAAAACTTGGCTTGCTCTCGATGAAACCGTTTCCTTTAGCATCTACGTTTGACCTGTGAAAAAAAAAAAATTAGATCACCAAGTGAAGTTGTGATTTGATTTTTTGACGAGTCATAAGACATCAAATTACACAAATCTTTCAGGTCCTATAAATACTGATAGTTTTCAGAGTGATAAAACAAAATGACACTCTGAGAGGAAAGATTACATAATATCTTCTGTAAAATCTTACAACAATCAAGTCATGTTCTTTAATGCGTAACATAAAAACCCAAGAACATTTCAGGTTCTATAAAATCTACACTGAGATTGAAGATTGCATAAAACAAATGTTGTATATAAAATCGTACAACGTTCTAGTCATTGTAGTAAATACCTCTAATGCATCACTTATGAACCCTAGAACATTTCAGATTCTTTTAAATCTGATAAATTCCAGATAAAATTAGACTCGTATTTAAACAAATTTCACGAAACCCCTCGCTCTTACTCCTTAAATCCACTTAATATTCAAATATCCTGAAGATTATAATCTTCAAAAACCGCTTAAAAGGAGCCCTAGAAGATACAGAAGAATGAAACTTACAAGTAAAGCTTTCCCTTCCGGCCAGACATAGTGATAAACGACGATTACGAGAGAGACGAAGGAATTGAAGATTGGTAGCACGAGCCATATATTAAAATTTGCTTTAAGAAAAAACAAAATGGCTTATAGAAGAATGGCTAAGTCCCCTCGTAGCCCTTTATATATTACTTCCAAAACCCTTATCAGTGCGAGTTACAGATGACATGGCGGGTATTGTGAGTAATTATTGACAAATAAAGAGGATAGAATCTTTGACCAAAAAAACAGGATAGAATCTGGGAGTTTTCAATACAAAATGGCTGAATTTTGTAACGACGAAATTATGAACACAAAGGTTCCAGCGCTTCCGTTTCCAAAATCAAATATATATATGGATATGTGTATTAGAGATCCCGATCTAAATATTTGATTCGGGTTACTATATTTTATACCTCACATATTCGCAATGTATTATGATTTGATCTTTAATTAATTTAAGATCTATTAGTACAGTAGAACCTCTATAAATTAATACTCGATAAATTAATAATCACTATAAATTAATAATTTTTGCCGGTCCCAAGCCGGGCCAGTGTAAAAATTAATAAATTTTGATAAGATAATAAGATAATATTTTTTTTGAAACTCCAATATAAAAATATAGTCCAAATAATTATATAAATTAATAAGTGTACATTTAAGCATATATAAATAATATAATGTAGTAAAATATAATTATATTATTGTTTCAAGTTTATAAAAATTGTTTGACTTATTTTTTAAATTCACTGATATGATATTTTCTGAATAAATTTTTCAATGTTGACAATATTTTTTTATTTTTTTACAAATATTTTGAATTTTGAACCGAAATATCTCTCTATAAATTAATAAAATATTAATTTCTCGATAAATTAATAATTATTAATTTATCAATTAATTAATAACTCTATAAATTAATAAATTTTTGCAGTCCCAACATTATTAATTTATAGAGGTTTTACTGTATATATCAAAACTATTGCTCATATATATATTACTAGATTAGGACAAGCATATATATATATATTGTGATAATTCAAATTCGGTCTAAAGAATGAACAAGAGTTAATAGGTTTAAAGAGATGCATTTTATTAAGAGTAGCCGAAACTCGAAAGTACACAAAGGTTTTAGGTCGTCGGAATAAGACGGCCGACCCAAAAAGAGTAATGAAAGTAGACTCAAGAGCTTAAAATAACAAAATAGTTAGTTTGCCCTAAGTCTCGAGAGATGATTATGAATGACTTGAGAAGTTAATGGCTTCTATATTTATACCCGATCAGGTCGGTCTTTTAGAAAATAACTTCTTCCCATTCGAGATAGGAAAACTTCCTTGCCGATAAGGCTAATCTTCCGTCTTTTCCATTTATCTAGCCGACCTAAATATTCTTTGGAGTTCTTGAAATGGGCAGATCTCAATGGATGTCGGGCTTTTAGAGTAGGTATAAATCTCATCTCTAACATACATGAGTTTTAAATAACATATTTATAAAGTCATAAAATTAATTTGAAAACAAAATCGGATAATTTATATAGAAAAAATAAAATAAATTAAAAATAATAAAACAAACCTTCAAAAATAAAATAAGTTTATGAGTAATATTTTGTTTTTTCTATTAAGCTTAGTCTTTACCTTTTTAAAAATAAATTTCTTCTCTTAAATGAAATATATAACTTTTTATTATTTTAAATTTATTATATTTTCTTTTAGATATTGTAGTAGTTATTTATTATATCCTTTTTCTAAATAAGTGTTATATTTCCTAAATTTCCTAGAATAAGAACCATTTATAATAACAAATTTTTAAATCCATTAAAATATTTTTTTTTGAAAAAATAGAAAACAAAATCAAATGAAAAAGTGTATGAAAAAACACAAAATCAAAATGTAGAAGTTATTTATTTTAATTTTCATTCGCTTTCAATTAAATATTCAAAATACAGAATCTGTTGCAAGTCCTAAGCAACATTAGCTTTATTTTTCATTTAGTTTAACACTTTATCAAATATTTTTACACTAAAAGTTTAACAATTTTTGAAAAAAATAGAAAACAAAATCAAATGAAAAAAATGTATGAAAAACACAAAATCAAAATCTAAAAGTTATTTATTATAATTCTTATTCGTTTTCAATTAAAATATTCAAAACACAGAATCTGTTGCACGTCCTAAGCAGTATTAACTTTATTTTTTTTTAGTTTAACACTTTATCAATCTTTTTTTTGTATTTTATTGTGTTAAAAACATAAGTGTGCAATTTGAGTCTTTCAAATATGTTAACTCTCTCCAAACAAACAAAATTTTTCTTTCTCTTCACATTCATCCTCTCGTATATGATTTCTCTTCGTTCGAGAAAAGCTATGGTTCTTAAAACTCGCGTCAACTGATTTTCTACATGACTTTTGTTAATCCTTCTCCTCATTGAGCTTATTATCGTCTAATATCATATCATTAGCATCTAATTTTTTTAATCCTACGTTGTAAATTTGCATGTAATTATTGATACCAAAAACACTTTAGATGAATATAATTTTCAGCAAACGGATTATAAAGGATAAAAATTTGGAATACTGAACAAACGAATCATAATGGTTAAAAATTTGGAATAATATATCATTTTATTTATTTTTAGTTTTCTTAAAAAAATTTAATCACAACACATATCAAAATCTGAATTGAAAAATTCGCCACGTGTCACGATCATATTAGTTACTAACTTTATAGAATAAGATATGTAGCCAAAAAAAAAATTAAATTATTTTGTTAACAAATAATATCAATAAATTATATCTGATATTAATAAAATTCAAATTAATTTAATTTCAAAATCATTTCAAAATCTTTCAAAATATCTTATAATAATTACCACAAATATATATGGCATGAATAACTAATATAATTATATATATTATATTGTAAATTAAATATATTATATTATAATCAATTTTTTTCTCTATACAATTAAAAGAAAATTACTACTTTAAAATGTCTATAAGCTAATATGATATTTATTAAATGTGATAATTTATATTCAATGATGAATATATAATTATTATTTTTTGGTTACATATATATATATATATATACTATGAAAAAAAATATTATGTAAATAATTTTTTTCTGGTTTGTTAATGATTTTTTTTCCGGAAATCATGGGTTTGCAGATTTGAGAAATACAAATTTGTAGATTTTATGGGTTTTATAAGTTTTAGCGGGTTTTATAAGTTTTAGCGGAAAATATACTTTTACGAGAAAATGCCGGTTTGACAAGAAATGTGCTTTTGTAGATTTAGCAGAAATACTTGATTTTAGAAATCTGGTCGTAAATCATGATTTTGCAGATTTTATGAGGTTTACGAGAAAACACGTGTTTACAAAATGCAAATAAAGCAATTTTGTGAATTTTATGGATTTTACAGGTTTTAGCGAGGAAATATAGTCACACAGAAAAATGCGGGTTTGTGGGTTTGGAAACTCGATTTTGCAAGTTGGCAGAAACACATGAGTTTAGAAATTTGGTCGTAAAACATGATTTTACGAATTTTACAATTTTACAAAAAATATGGGTTTGTGATTTGGCCAGAAACGTGAATTTGCGGATTTAATGAGGTTTACATGTTTTGGCGGGCTTTATAGGTTTTGATGGAAAATATAGGTTTGCGGGTTTGATAAGAAACGCAATCTGAAGGTTTGACAAAGACACGTATTTTTAGAAATTTAGCCATAGAATACGGTTTTATGGTGTTGGAGAAAACATAAATTTTGGTTTTGTTAAAAAATGGGGGTTTACAGTCTTGGAAGGAAAATACGGTTTGATGGAAAATGCTATTTTTACAGTTTCTACGGAAATTCCTGATTTTTGTATAACAACATGATTTTAGTAATTTTTGATTTTGTTTAAAAATGTGGGTTTATAGTTTTGGCAGGAAAATATTATTTGACAGAAATGCTATTTTTACAGTTTCTATGGGAATTTCTAATTTTGGTACAACAATGTGATTTTTGTATTTTGCAGGAAAATGAGGTTTTTTCGATAGAAAACTCTGATTTTATTGTTTTGACAAAGAAAAATTTGATTTTATGGTTAAAATTAAAAGGTTTTTTTGGTCTTTTAATTTTTGAGATTCAAATGCTGCATCCAAAATTTATATTTTAGCATTTTAAATATTCACATTTTGAGATATTATAGATTTTGTATCCAGATATTTAAAAGAACAATATTTGAACATTTACATCCAAATAAGTATCTGAATGCAAAAAAAAAAACAAAACCTAAGTAAATATAAAATCTCTCTTGCATTATAAAACATAATATTTTGAAAATATTTGTTACAAAATTTAACCGAAAATTCGCTAATCAAAATATTTATTTTTTAGAAAATCAAGCTTAAATAATTTCAAGAACATAAAATCATAATGTAAAAATAGTTTCTATGATCTAATAAAAAAATGGTTTGGGCCACAATTTTGGATATAATAATATAAGCCAATTTTTTTGAACAAAAGTTTAATATAAACTGATTTTTGGTGTGGCTTAAAAATATTTTATGAAAAGAAACCCGCACAAATGCACTGATCCAAAATCTAGTGTCTCAGTTATACAGATAAAAATTATCGTAACTAATTGTTTTTTCAACAAAAAATTATCATCTATACTATTAAAAGAGAATCATTCTTGATAAATATTCAAAAGCTACTATGGTATTTGCAATATATGCCATTGCATTTACTAGACAATTTTATTAATTCATTAAAGGTAATTTAGTCATATCATTAAACTACTAAAAATATATTAAATTAAATTAAATTAAATTAGTTTATTAACAGATAATAACAATAAATTATATCTGATATTAATAAAATTCAAATTAATTTAATTTCGAAATTCTTTCAAAATCTTTCATAATATCTTAACATAATTACCACAAATATATATGGCATGAATAACTAATATAATTATATATATTATATTATAAATTAAATATATATTATATTATAATTAATTTCTTCTCTATACAAGTAAAAGAAAAGCACTAATTTAAAATGTCTAAAAGCTAATATGATATTTATTAAATGTGACAATTTATAGTCAATGA